TTCTAATTTTGGTAAAAACCTAAATTTTATTTTGTCACATTTTATATCCAATAAAATCAAACTTCCACCATGCTGGATATATATGATAATAAAAATGAAGAATTAAAAATAATTGAAACAATTATTACCATAAATAATATATTGATATCTTTTAAATTACATGAATTATCAAATGATGATTTAAAAATTATTAAATCAATGAATAAAAAAACCAGAAAAAATTTTTTTACATTAACTAAAGAAAATCATCAATCAGTTATCGATTGTTGGAATAAAATTTATGAAGAAAAAATTAATAATGAATCGATTAATGAACCAATTACAGGATATATTATTAATAATGATTTTTGTAAATTATATTTTTTGTATTTTATCGAAAAAAATAATGATAATGATTACATTGAATTAGAAATTATTTTTCAAAATATTCAAAATAATGATTTGATTAAAAATAATGTTAATGAAATTTTTTATTTGTTTTTTAAATAAAATTTATTAGATGACTTCATATGTTGTTAAATTTAAATCTGATTATGAAAATAAACAACAGTTACAAAAATATCTAGTATTAACTCTACATATATTGTTGATAAAACAATATATGTTATGTCTTTAGAAGAACATCCAAATGTAATTGATAGATGGAAAGAAAAATATAAATTTAAAGAAATATATGGAGTTGGGCCATGGGAACTCAAAAATCTTGAAAATCAATTAGAATTTTCAGAAAAAGCAAAAAGACAACATATTGAAAATAAATTTATTGGATTCACCAAAGATCAAAAAACTGGGTTTCATGGATTATGTGTTTTAGGTTTTGGATTACCTAATGAAGAAGATGATGAAAGAGTTTACTATGAATTTTGGTCAAGAGTATGGTTAACTTCTGAAAATGATGAAATTTTTAATTTAATTAAATCAAATAGAGAAGAACTTGCTAGTTTAGTTATTTGTGGAGGCAAAGATGAATATACAATTGAGTATTAATTTTTTTTTTTATAATTATTCAATAAAATAAATATAATATATATTTACATTTTTTTTTCAATAAATGTAGTTCAAATATTACAAATAAAAAATTAATTCCATGATGACAAATGGATAAAGGTTTTGCCTGTTCGGAAAATGTCCGAATTACCTGCAATTTTTCAATTAGTTATCACCCCGGTTTTTTTATTAGTTATCATACTGGAAATTTACATAACATTTATTATTATTTCATTCATGTTTATTATGTTTATTATTATAATTTTTTTTTCTAAATACAACAAAAGCAAGAATTACAACAATTTCATATCATGAATCAATTATAAACATTAAAAATTTAATCTTTTGGTGCAATTTGAAGATTTATTTGAACATTATTACAGTTTTTTATAGAAATTTTCAGCAAACTATAGCCAGCATTGTTTTTTTCATGAGGAATTGTAATTGTCAGTCCATTGATAGCTGCTAATTCCACATTTGTCAATTTTAATCTTTGAGCATCTCCACTACAAAAACCACACAAGAAACATAACCAGAAATAGGTTTTGTAAGTGGCGGATAATGGTGTGTCTTTGTTTAACTCAGAATGTGTTAAAATTTGGTAACTTTCATCATATTTGAGTGAGTCAGATTTTTTCTGTTTGATTATGCTTAAATCTTGTATTTTTTTAATTTTGCCATCTAAATGTTTGTGAAGTCTTGGAAACATACATTCATCATAAAGATCTAGAGCAGGAGAAATTTTTGAATTTTCCTGTAAATACCTATGTATAGCAGCAAAGCAATTTTTTATTGATGTTGGTGCATATGGTGATTTGTCTTTTTTGTTTAATGCTTGAAAAAATTGAATCAATTCTTCTTGTAACAACAATTTCACTGATGTCATAATTGTATCTCATTTTTGTTCTAACATCTGTCAGAACTTTCAACCAGAAACTTGTATTGTGAGTAGTATTCTTAACTTCACCATAATTTATTGTGTCTTCAATTTCTTTGTTTGTAGGTATATGTACATTATTATTTGACTATAAAAAAAAAATAGAAAATTTTAAAATATTGTGAGCATGCAATCCAAGTTTCCTAATTAATAGGCTATTTATAGTTCAACACACAGCCTACCCACTGACTTACAGTCAAAGATTAGTAAAAATAACTTTAGTAGATACATACTCTAGTCCTAGTAGATACATAACCTGGCTAAGTAGATACACAATATTTAAGATTATGTATCTACTACTTTTATCCTCCTGGATAAAAGGGTCCCTAGGTTCTATATATAATTATATCCCAAAGACGTCCCCTTGAGATGTTTCTCAATAATTAGAATGTTGGTTACTTGCTAGGTACAGCAAAGGTTTCCCCTTTGTGGTTTATTAATTAATTAGAGATTATTATTATTTAGGGTAAAATATGTTATGTGTTTTATTAGTGATAATGATATTATTATTATTACAATGTGTTAGGAAGTATTAATTATTAGATCAATAATTAAAAGATTGTTATGAACATAATGATTCTGACTTGGTCTAAAACCAAGCCTTTTTATACCTTGTGGGGTATTACAAATAACATGACTTTTACTATGCTTATTAATGTAAAATAAATATTTAAGTCAACTGAGCATTACAAATAATAATTAATAATTTAAAGTAAATATTTGCATTAGCTGAATAAGTTCTTGAAATATAAATATAGAAATATGAATATGAATAATTGTACGTGTGATACTGCGCAATGTGTGGCGCAGTAGTTTCACAAAAATAAAAAGAAATCTAGGGGTTAGGGGGGTTCAATACGAATGTTACACACTATGATTTCGCAAAACCAAAACTGTCCTCCCTCGAAAT